CCCCCCCCCCCCCCCCCCCCATTTCCCAAGATGATTGTGCGTGATTTTAGTTTATATACATTGGTCTTGTTTAAAGTTCCATTTTTCTTCTTAAGGCTCAAATACAACTGCTTAAGCGCCGCTGATTTCGCGCTGCGTCTTGTCGTAGATCCAGTCGTTGAGACCCTTGCGATTCCTGGCAATCTCGATAGCGTAAAACTGCATGCGGGGGACTGTTAAAAGGTTAGTCAATGCTGTGACCTCTTTTTCTTCTCTTTGTATCGCTTCCAATCTCTTCCGTTTGAGTCAAGTCTCCTGTTTTTAGCAAGAAAACTCACCGAAAATAGTATTCCTCTCCTCGTACTCGACACCAGGGTTGTTGCGCAACATAGTACCAAAGTTGTAGTCTTCAATAGTCTTCTCGTAGGCCATGAGGAACGGGCGCCACTTTGCCTTGCCCTCCTTGCTCTTCATTTCGTCCTCGTCAATCGTCTTGGAAGGGTCGAAGTGGGGGAAGGTCTCCATGAGGTGGTTGTAAATGTCGTCGTCCATCTTGGTCAGGCGGAGGGACGATCCCTTAACCTTTTCAAGAATGGACCAGTACGTGGCCATGTGCTGGACGACTAGAGTCGAGAGTTAGCAAAAGCGACACAATGAGAGTGATTTCCGGGAACCTCATTGAAACCCAGGCCATTTTTACCCTTGACGGCAAACTGCTTCTCCATCTACATCACTGGAATATTAGCAAAAGGGATGACGCGCGTTCCTATGTGGGGGTGGTTTGTGGTGTCGTTGCGACGTACATCTTCCATGTTCTGTGCATCTTCAGCGTTGAAATCCTTGGGGATGGGGCCGCCGCCCGCCGACATTTGGTCCATAGGGTCCATTATGAGCAAATATCGTGGCGTGAAACGTTCTAGGTGTTGTCTCTAGGTTGGGTGAATGTCGACGTTATCGTCGTCGTCGTCAAAATGCTGGATTTTTTTCTCGTAGTGTCTCTTCCAACGTGGGGGAAAGGGCTTAAATGGATGGCGGGGCAGCAATGATATCAGCGGTTTGGAAAAAAAATCTCGGGTTTGATTATGTCATCCAATGTGTCGTGATCCTGTAAGAATTCAGACTCGGTGGCTGTTTCTTTTTCGGTCCTCTTCTTCTGCTTTTTTTCTCGGTTACTATAATAAATAAATAGATTTACATCGGATAACTAGATATACATGAGTTGAATATGTTGGAAACTATCCGGCGGCGATGTGGTTATTTCGCAGCATTGTTACTACATCATACCATTTACTAGCAGTGCCTTCGAGCTGCTTCTAGCAGGTTGCAGGTAAACCAGCGTCTTGTCCATGACGTATCAAAACACGTAGTGTGAAAAACAGATGAGTCCATGGAAGAGAAGTTGATCCATGCCGATCATAATGGAGAGAAGCTAGGAACACTCTAATATTATGTTTTCGTCCGTGATTGTGGAATTTTGAGCTTTCGGATCTCGTTTAGTTTGACGTTTGACGCAAAATGCGACTAAACCCCACTCTCTTCTCTCTTATCCAACACAAGATCTTCCTCTTCTATTCACTTCCTTATCGCTTTTCGCCATTCCTTTCTGTCTCTCCCTTCTTCCCTAGCTATTTGATTATCTGCTGGTTTATTTGATCCAAGTCAGATGAGCACATACACACACAATGAGTCCGGCAGCATTGTATGTGGAACTTGTGCTGTCGCAAGACCCCTGAAGCAAAGCAGCAGCAACAGCAGCTCAACTCGGCATATACGTATTCTTAGATAAGCAGCCAACGCACGCTAACGATCCCTATCCGCCGCATGGCTCCGTCTATCAACTCTCCCCAACAACAATAATATAAGTAGTTACTATTACTCAGTAAATAAGCAGCTACTTGCTACGTACAGAGAAGCATACAGAAGCCCAAATTTCAAACTCAAGCCACGTTGGGTCACCAAAGAGCAAAACGTATTTACGACCCAACCGTCACTGTTAATTGGAATTCGTCTCTGGTTTTGGCCCCCAATATCGTCGTCATCGTCATCATCATCCCTGTCTCGCCCAATTGCGGCTGCGAATGAATGCCTTCCTTGCGACTTGGAGGCTGATCAAAGTCGTATTCGAGTCAACGAATCCTTCCTGAGCCATGGCGGACCAGAAATTCACTACCTGGTGGGCCGTTGTCCACATCGCAATTATCCTATTCCGTTACACGCCCTGTCTTTATGTAGCTGGCATCGCCTCTCTGTTCCTCATCAATGGCTCTGGAGCCTGGGACCTGACATCAATGAGGATTCTGTGCGGTGCCTTGACGGCCGAGGCTGTCTACTATCTTTCCGCATGGCGCCCATACCACGCACGTCTCAACCTCCCCGCAGAGTACCCTGAGCTGTGGCCAGCCACGCGTAAGGAGAGACGAGAACTCTTTGATGAGTGCTTTGCCCATGTCTCTGAACCGGAAGCCTATCTCCGCTGGTGGTTTCTGGGATCAGACCGACACGATATTCGTCGAGACAACGTGAGAGAGTTCATTACCTGGGGCTTCTTTGATAGAGATAGCCTATACCCGGATGTCCATCCAGAGGACGCCGAGCTCCAGAAGGAGATTGACGAGTATGTAGCTGCCTTTGAGAAGAAGTTGGGGTCCCCTCTTGCTGAGGGCCGTGGCCCAGCCAAAAGCCTGCGTCTCACTGTAGACCCAATTCAGACAGCTTACCGCGGTCTGGCCTGGTACTCGGTTGTCTTTCTCATCGACCAACTCACACACCTGTCAATGGCTTTGATGGGATTTCGATATCATCCACCGGCTGAAGGAGCACCCGTCTTCCCCCCCCGGCCACAGGTCCTCTTGGCCAGCGAAACGTCTCCCGCATCCAGCCTTGGTTACTGGTTCAAACCCCATAGGGCTGGACCAGACACGTTGCCCGTTGTCTTCTTCCATGGAATCGGAATCGGCCTTTGGACATATCTGCGCTTCTTTTGTGGAATTTCCAAGCCTAATGATAACGGCAGCTCACTCGGAGTCATTGCCATCGAGATGCTCCCAATATCCTTCCGCCTCACATCTCCACTGCCCAGACAATCCGAGTTTGTGCGCCAGGTGACCAACATTCTTGACTACCACGGTTGGGACCAAGTATCCGCTGTTTCCCACTCATACGGTTCCGTGCCGACGACGCATATAATTCGTTCGCCTGAGCTGAAACACCGGGTGACCTCGGTCGTACTGCTCGACCCGGTCACCATCCTCCTGCATCTTCCTTACGTCGCTTACAATTTCACTCGCCGCGCTCCCAGCGCCACCAACGAGTGGGTTTTGTGGTACTTTGCGAGCACAGATCCTGGCGTCGCACACTGCCTCGGCCGTCACTTTTTCTGGCGACACAATGCCGTATTCAAACGCGAGCTACTCGCCCCCGTACCCATCCACCAACATGGCCACTCGGATCGTGCACAGTCAGATGGCAGTGCCCAGTTAGGACGCGACAGCAGTGACAGCAGTAATGACGACCATATTTACGTCCGGCCCAGGAGAGTGGCCGTATGCCTGTCCGGCCGAGATTTAATTGTTGAGACGGGTGCTGTGGCTCAGTACCTGACCCAGCAGGAGGAACCAAAGGGCGGGGAGTCCCATATTGAAGAGTCAACAATAACAAGGACGGACGACTCCATTGAGGTGATGATATTTCCTGATCTAGACCACGCCCAGATATTCACCACTGCAAAAGACACTAGCAGGGTTATTGATCTCGTGAAGAACTATTGTAAGATATGAAAAATTGGACATTTCCCAATAGTATCTGGTAGCGGCTTTATAGGTAAATGTAACTATGTTTCAGAAGCGAAAAAGATAAGAACAAAGATAACAAGGATTTGTTCAAGGGCTTTCAGCTTATATGGCTTTGTTGGTTACGTTCAATAACGCGCGTAGATAGTAGACGATCACATAGGTGCATTAGCCCCCCTAAATAAAGGGCCGCAGCTGTTATAATAATATTAATTATTATTTTATCTATCTAATGAGGCCGTATAAAGGTGAGATCCTGATGTTTACTGTCACATAAAGAGGGAAAGAGGGATGTTCGTCTCTTTTTGGTGTGTTGTGGTATACCGGTTGATGTGTGCTGTATTGATCTTAGTTGTTGTCTATGCTAGAAGGGACAGATCTAACGTTATTATAGTCGAGTCCCGCTTACCTTAGCTATATAATGAATTACTATAACGAATACCTTCTAGAAGCCTTTATACTATCAGCTTATTATACAGCACTAGTTATAGCTTAAGTAAAAGCAAAGAGTTATTTTATAATTATTAATAATAAAGTTAAGTTTTATATATAGGATTAAAGTTCCTAAAAGAAGGCCTTTAGACTTAAACTACTAGTCTATATAAGTTTATTAGTTTTACTATACCTCTTATCATAGAAAATCTACTCCTAGATTAGGTAAGTGAGACTCGACTATAAAACCGTCGAGCCTAGCGCTATGATTATGAGAATAAATAAGAACTTAACACTATATAATACCTTACCTACCTTTAATATATATAAGAATATTAGTAGTGTGTTCTTACTAATATCTCCTTATCCTTTAACCTTCTAATAGTTGATTCCTATAACTATAGCACTACTACTTAAGAGAAGTCTTACTTATATTAGATAGTATTGTTAAGGACTAATGTTACGGCCCGTCATGCGACCTTCACGTGCACGCGACATTTTCCTTTTTACTGACTTACTTATCAACACATTCACTTACACTAACTAACACCCCGATCACTTAATAACTTTAATGATCGCCCTTCGCGATTATCTTAATCACCTAGTGATCGCAATGATCACTATAGACGATCACCTCGTCCCTTTATGTGACGGTTAGTACGACTCTATGCTATAGGGTAGTCAGAGAAGTGTCGTTTTTATATTAGCGAGGCCGTTAGGGCGTCTAACTAAGCAATAAGGCAGTTATAGTTATAGGTGCTAATTATAGAATGAACTAGAGTTCTAAAAGAAGCGTTAACTATTATATTAATAGCTAGGTAAAGAGTGACTAGGCTATAGAAATAAGGTAAACTATATACTAGGTAATTATAGAGTAATAGTATTAATTAGTTATAGCGATTAATGCGATTTACTAGTAATTATAGTAATCGCTCTCTCGAGGCGATTCGTAACGATTATCGTTAAATCGGTATAATCGCGTGTAAGTGAGGGTGTTGATAAGTAAGAAAAATGTGGGGTGCACGTGAAGGTCGCATAATGGGCCATAACACTTTAGTGATCACCTAGTATATAGTTAACCCTATTTCCTTAGCCTAGTCACCCTCTACCTAACTATCAATAATAAAGTCAACGCTTCTATTGAAACCAGTTCCTAATATAGGCACCTACGACTATAACTGCCTTATTTATTACGACCCGTTATGCGGCCTTCACGTGCACCCTACATTTTTCTTACTTATTAACACACTCACTTACACGCGATTATACCGATTCACTATAAATCACCTTAAGGACGATTACTACGATTCCTATTAAATCGCATTAATCGCTATAACTAATTAATACAACCACTTTATAATCGACTAGTATATAGTTAACCTTATTTCTATAGCCTAGTCACTCTTTACCTAGCTATTAATAATATAGTTAACGCTTCTTCTAAAACCCTAGTTCCTTTTAGTAGTAGCACCTACGACTATAACTGCCTATTGCTTAGTACGACATCCTAACTGTCTCGCCAATATAAAACGACATTATCTCTGTCCACCCTATAGCTTAGAGTTGACCCTAACGTCACATTATTGCTCAGTTCGACATCTTAACTGTCTCGCCAATATAAAACGACATCATCTCTATCTACCCTATAGCTTAGAGTTGACGCCAACGTCACAACTAATCAGAAGTAATAGAGAAAGTGATAAAGTCTTACAGTCAAGAGATAGGAAAGAGATTTAGGGTCAACTTTAGGGTTAAAATTAGTAATTATTTATCTCTATCTTCTTTATTTATACCAGCTTCTTTTCTACCTCTTTATACTAGTTCTAGAATCTTATCTTTAATGCCTTTAATTTATATATAATAATCTTTATACTTTCTTAAAACTATTATACTTTTTCTTAGTCTTTAGGGGTGACCTGAAAAAGTAGAGATATCCTTAGTTATTAGATTCGATAAGGACGGTATTAGATCTTATAGACGAAGAGCGTGATCTAAAATATATAAGACTTCTCTTAAGAAGCGTTTATTATTTCTAGAGAATTAACCGTTTATACGTTAATATATATAGTAGCGTATATACGAATATATTACTAATACGCTTATATATTATTAAGGGTAGGCTAGGTATTATATAGTATTAAGTTCTTACTTTTATTATATTTAGAGCGATAGACTTAACTATTTTATAGTCGTGTCCCCGCTTACCTAAGCTATATGTACATTTTCTATAACAAACATAGCGATTACCGCGATCGGGGGAAATTAAGGGCAAACACGTGAACTCTAATCGCAGTGATATCAAATGGATACTTATACATGTCAGCTCTAGTTTTCCCTTTGAGAAGCAGTATCCCGTCTTGGGTATGATTGAGCTGTGTGACACAATGACACAAGCGAGGAATCGAACAATGCCATAGGTTAGAGCTCCTAATTGGCTTGAATGAATCCAAGAACTTGTGTCGTTAATTAGCTGGGTGCATATCGGGTGTATAGGAAAAGGGAGAAGCAAAGAAAAAAAGAACAAAAAACATAAGAGTTCATAAGGACATTTTGCTCGCTCAATAAGTATTAGGATTTCATAGGGTCTTCAACTATTATTATAGGACTGTCTCGTTGTCTAGTGAGAATACTCGTAATTAAAGTCGACAGCGTGCTAAAGTCGGTAGTCGCACATTGTACAAAAGCGGGGGAAATAGTAGGACAAGTACTTAACAATATTAATAGTCGCACCGACCAACCCGCAAGCGCTGCACCTGCTGCTTCTGTGGCCCCCGACTGTCGGCCCTACATCTCATCCATCTCTCCTCCTCCACCCATTCCCTCATTAGCATTACGAAAGGTTTCTTATGCGATTCAATATTACTTTCACCCACAACAACGGGTCTCTCGAGCCAAACGATTTCTGCACTCTTTCTCTATGCCAACGCGACTGGGGGTTTGCTGTTCTGCCTTTGACAAGACAGGCCTGCCAAACAGTGCCATCGTGTGTTTCCTGTCCCACTCAACTCGTGTCTAGTGTGCACCCACCGGTTGGGTACACTCACCTTTTGGACACTTTTGGACACATACGAGTACAAAAAGGCCTTATCCCAGGGTCTCTACTCTATGGAGACACAGAAGCAACAGAGGCGGCCGCTTTTGTACCAATAACGAATAACAAATGCGGCTATTGAGCGTACGTACCTGTCGGTTATGAACGTGACACTGGGGGTCTGCCAGTAGCTGACTCGTGTGTGTCGAAAGGTCCTGAGATTTAAGAGTCTTCGTGGCTAGGCCATATTCAGAAAGAAGAAACGAGAGGTAGAAAGAAACTGGTCCAAGGGGACCGCATGGTGGCCTGTTGAAGCCTGTTTGTGGGACCACGTAGATACGTCTCACCACTCATCGCACCCTCGTCATCGTCATCTCACGGTTGCTATATGCCCACAAAGACATGGAGAGTTTGGCACAATCACCTCTTCCGGGTGCCTCGACACTTCTGGAACTCCCTGTCGAGCTGATTGACGGCATCCTCTCATGCCTGTCACCCTATGACCTCTGCTCCGTGTCCGCCACCTGTCACACGCTGCGGCACCATGCCTTGTCCGATGTCTTATGGCGGCCCATTGTCCAGAGCAACGTGCCAGGCTCGACGGTGCGCAGCCCTCATCCGTGTGAGTCATTCCAACGCCTGTACGCCGAGCATGACCGCCTGTGGTTCCTACCAAAATATAAAATTTGGTTCTGCGATCGTGACCTTCCCGGCAAGTTGATCCTCGTTCGATACGATGACAGGCGTGGGTGCATAGAAGGATTTGAGCTGCTGGCCGTTAGTAAGAGGACGAGGTACGAGGCATGGTCGGCGAATAACCAAGTCATGATCCACAGCTTCGAACCCACGGTCCGACTGCACGTGGACAAACCCATACTGCAGTTCAAGGTGGGCGATAGGGACGAGGACGGCGGCTTCTCGACCCGGCCCGAGGCTAACCGCTTCGCCGACGAGATTCCTATGGTTCTCGACGACAGGCTCCAGCATATGTACAGCAACTTCCTGCTCAACAAACCTCTGAGCCAGGAAGAGGCCGAGATGAGCCTGGTCGAGGACTATCCCTACGGGTCCATCTGGCCACCACCAGCAGTACCAGCACGACAGCATGCGAGAGGCATGAGATCGGGCCAGTATAGCCAATGGCTCCGGACGTATGACCGTCCCCGACGCAGATGCGAGGTATCGGACCAGACCTTTAGCATCCGGCGATGGATACAGATGGGCGGGGCCGTCCATTCTCCGGTTGGTATGGGCCTTGACCGGGTGGGCAGTGTTGCGGGAAGCATTCCCATCTCTGACATGACGGGACGACAACCCGGTGGTGCCATAGGAGCCCACATTGGCGAGGAAGTCATGACATTTTCAACGCTAGACCCAGAGCTGTACAAGCCTACGCCCACCAGACCGTGGAGGGGAATATGGGTGGGTGACTATTCAGGTCATGGGTGCGAGTTCCTCCTCATAAACCAGCCTGACGAGCCGGAGGCTACAGACGAAGAGCTCCATCTCATACGTGAAGAAGGCGAGAGCGATGAGACGTGGGAGCGGAGGAGAATGGACGCGCGCATCTACCGCGGGCGGCTTGGGGCCATCAAGCTCACGGGAGACCCCAATGTGCCGCGCGGTGAGTATACATTTGCTGCAGACGATCTAGGGCCAGATGGATTCGTTGGTCTTGCATCAGAGCCTCCTTTTGAAGGCGTGAGGGTGGTTAGGAGTAAAGGTCATATTGCGCATACGGGATTTATACAGGGTACGTTCTTCCTCCGTATTTTGTTTTAGGCCTTGCATCATTCTTTCTAACACTGTGGCAGACAGATTCATAGAGAGCCAATTACTCCTCCTGGGACCAGACCGACTGGCGCAGTACTGGGTCGGATTCGGGCACATTAGTTTCTTCGAGAGGGTCAACATCGACGACCACCTGGATCCGAATATGAGCCGATGATGTGAATGCGTGATCGCAGTCTACTGTATCAGGTGAAGGCGGCGAGACATGGAAATATGGATATATGAATCACGCTACGAATACATTCTGTTACCGCCATATTCAACCGACAACCTAATACTTGTGACATGTTAGCACCTTGACATTTAGATGACCCTGGGCCTTGACGGACGAGTCCGGGAGTACGAGTACTATTAGCATTACTACTACCTACATGTACTCCGTACGGAGTACGGGGTAATAGTAGAAGTAATGATAGACACATAACAGTCAGGGGGTATCATACGTATTTGTGGCTTAGGCCCAGTGCCCCTATTCTCGTAGATGTGGAGTACGAGTACCGATGCCGATACCATCAATGGGGTATGCGTATGCATGTTCGACAATTGTAGATGAAGTCGTGCCTGTAACCGATCAAGACGTAAGCGGTGTACGAGTAAAAGTCCGAGATCCTCATACTCTCATGGACAGTGAACGGCGTCTATCTGCATATTTAGGTACACGATTTATGCATGGGCGGTTACCAAGGATGAACATTTCATTGATGATGTATATGAATAAAACATGTCACCAGCCGTGTATCAATATGAAGGGTCATGCATCATCGTTACTTGTTCTCCCCTACTCTCTTTTCTTTTTCTGTTCTTCGTCTTCCATGACCTGCTCCGTTCATTTCCATCCACTCCCTTACCTTGTCGTATAAACCACACCGCTCTGACATGATCAGGGGGGAGTACCATATTTATTTCTCGTTCTCTACTGTTTTTTAAACCGTCTTGCTATGGATTCACCTCAGTTCCGTAGCCACAAGTCGCCATGAGTTTCAGGCCCATCATCCACCGATTTACCGGGACCAGCAGTGGAGGTCACTGCCGATGCATTGCCGTCTTTCCACCCCATAGGCCCACTTTGTCTCCTTGGCATGTGCACTACAATTACGCAACTACGCATCTCCAAAGCCAACGACAGCAATCATCTAATGCAAATTCAAGGCGCGGACAGAAGAGTGGAAAGGGGTATTCGGAAAAATCAACTGTGGCCATCACAAGAAATCCCAAGACAACCCCGAATTTACTTCGACTTTCTGCTTATGTTGGCGCTGGTCTGGTTGCGGCTTCCCTCGGCTTATACCATATCACAATACCAGCTCCTCTCGACGTGGCTGCTGTCCCCGACTCCGAAAATGCTGAATGTTCCAAGACAGGACTACCGCGATTTTCCCTTGGAGAGATTCGAAAACACAATAGCGGCTCACCTAACCCCTGGGTTATACACGGCAACAAGGTGTACGACATCACAGACTGGGTCTCGGCTCATCCAGGCGGCGATGTTATCCTGCGTGCTGCCGGAGGTTCAATCGACGGCTACTGGGACATATTCTCCATTCACAAGAACCAATACGTATACGATATTCTGGACACCTATCTTATAGGCTACGTTGATAAAGTCGACCTCTCCTTGGACGGCTCCCGGCTAGCTGTGGCACACGATATCGAGGACCCTTTCTCAGATGATCCAGTCCGCCACCCCGATCTTATAACACGTACCCGGAAGCCACGGAATGCCGAGTCCCCCGCCTGCTCCATCGAGGACAACTTCTTGACCCCCAACGACCTGTTCTACGTTCGAAACCACATGTGGGTGCCCACCGTCGACCAAGATCCAGACGACCACCGTCTTACCATTGAGCTGGCTGATGGGTCCACAAAGTCTTACACGCTGCGTGAGCTCAAAGCCCGCTTCCCCAAACGTACCGTCACGGCCACCCTCCAGTGCTCGGGAAACCGTCGTGCCCACATGAGTGAGGGTTCGGGACGCAAGGCCAACGGTCTACCCTGGGACGTGGGTGCCATATCCAACGCCGTGTGGGAGGGCGTCATGTTAGCCGACATCTTGGCCGATGCTGGCTTTGACCCCAGGAGTTCGCAAAAAGATAAGGATGTCAAGCATGTCCACTTTGTGGGAATGGAAACCTATGGTTCAAGCATACCTATTCGGAAAGCCATGGACCCTTATGGTGATGTCCTCCTGGCCTGGGGTATGAATGGCGAGCCCTTGCCCCGTGATCATGGATTTCCTCTGAGATCCATTGTCCCCGGAAACGTGGCAGCTCGATCAGTCAAGTGGCTCCAGCGCATAGCTCTCAGTGACGACGAAAGTCCTGCCCAGTGGCAGCGTCGAGACTATAAGTGCTTTGGGCCCAATCAAACAGCCGTCGACTGGGATTCAGCCCCCGCCATCCAGGAGATGCCAGTCCAAAGTGCCATCACAGGCGTGCGTCTAGGACATATGAGGAGCAATGGCAAGGATGACAACGGAAATGCTGTCAAAGGTCATCCAATCTCCATGAGCGGTTATGCTTTCTCGGGCGGAGGTCACGGTATTGTGCGAGTTGACGTTTCCCTCGATAACGGCCACACATGGTTCCAGGCCCGTCTCCTGGATGACGGCAGTGATGATGGCGACGACGGGCACAGTAACGTTGTAACGAACCAACCCGGACAGTCATGGTCGTGGAAGCGTTGGCGATTTGACGGGACCGTGCCTCAAGTGACATTCCACGATTCCCAGGATGGCCGGAAGTGCACGCACCTTGTCGTCAAGGCCATCGACGACGCATACAATACCCAACCCGAGAGCTATGCTGCTACCTGGAACATCCGGGGCAACCTCACCTCTGCATGGCACCGTCTCCTTGTTTGTACCGACTGCAGCAGCAAGTCCTGATTCTCTTCGCCTGTTTATCTATTTTCTTATTCTGCGTAGTAGCGTTCAGCATATACCTATCGCCCTCGACTCACAACATGTGACACTTTACACTTGCTGCACCAGTTTACTTATTCATATTTTCAATACGCTCCACAGTCTCTAAAATTGCATTCAACTTCATGTATAAAGTGGCCTTGTATCTCCCCCGTTTCCTGTTTTCGAGATAAAAGTACAACGAAAGATGTTTGCAACTATTACTCTCTGTGTCCCTGATAAGAAATGTAACCCCTCCCTCCCCATGTATATAATACATACAGATTGCCTTGAGCTCAGTCGTCATCTTCCTCCTCGTCGCTGCCTTCGTCGGAAAAGTATTCAAACTCATCGGGCAGTTTAGCCTCCTCGTCACCCTCATTATCCTCATCCACAGCAGTCAAGACACCAGCCGCAGCGGCAGCACCAGCGCCGGGCGTGCTGAACATGTCTCCAAGTCTGCCAAAGGGAGAGGGGCCACCACCCTGAGAGCCGCGTAGAATCTGATCAACCATGGGGTTGCCAGTTGACCCGCCGCGTGTTGGGTCGACGAGTCCATCTAGCAGATTACGTCCACCGCCGGGAGCACCAGGAGTACTAGGTCGGCCGGCACCACCATGGGCGCCCTGACCGGCAACAGGGGCGCGTTCCGTCGTCACCTTGGCCAGCTTCTCCTCAATCAGCGTCTTGGGCTCGTCCGCCTCCGTATCCTCCAAAAGCATGGCTCCACCTGTAACGGGCTGTTCAGAAAGGTTAGCATGCTCTGTTTTATCTCTTCCATCTTAAAAGGGATGTTGAAAACATACCTTCTTGACGAGCCTATAGCGTCCAGCGGGGATGCTCAAGTACTTCAGCTGGCTGGGCAGCACACGCGTCATGTTGTCAATGTCAAAGCCGGCCTTCTCCTTCTCGGGCTCCTTCTTGCTGTCGGAAGTGTCTTTGTTGGCAGCGGCGTCGTCGCCGGTAGCGCCAGGCTCCTTGGTCGTCTGGTCGTCCTTCTTATCGTCGTCGATGTCCATTTTATCGCCCTCGCCCTTCGGAGCAGGGGTGTCAATGTCCATGCCACCCTCAGTCTTCTGGGCACGCTCCTTCTTTTGAGCCCTGCGCTTGGCCCGTGCAGTCGTCGACAGAATAGCCGTGGCGATCATAGCGGGACCCTCCTCGGCCTTGACTTCCTGCTCAGGAGGATAGTCGAAGAGGCTCGGTCGGGCAGAGCAGTGGAACTTGAAGTCGGGCATGTCGAGCTCATGGTCCAGTCCAATGACGGCCGTGGGTGAGAAACTCAGGGACAAAAAGTGGGTGAAGGGGAACCAGTACCAGTACTGGGTGAAGACGGCCATACCGACGATTCCGGCCATGTTGAGGTTGCCCGACTGGGTCTGCAGACCGATGGTGCAGTTGCGGCCACCGGCATCAATAATTCCTGTAGCCAGAGCGGCACCGAACTTGGTCATAGCATCCTCGTGACGGTCGCCGACAACCTTTCTCAGCGTCTTGCGGAACGACGACACCTTGGGGTTCGTAACCTCGTTCTGTTGAACCATAATCATAGACAGAGAGATGAGAGCACCCTGGCGGACAAAGTCGGTGGGGTCCTTAAGCATGGGGTCGAGCAGGTCAATAGCCTCCTCCAGACCGGTGCCGGCGCACGAGATGCCAAGGGCCATGGCAGAACCGTAGCGGACGTGGGGGTTGTATGACTCGGACAGCAGCTCGACCATACGGGGAACGCTGCCGGGCTTGCGGAAGAGGATGAAACCCAGGCTCATGACAGCGATACGGCGAACGTCATCGCTGACATCGCTGACAGCTACGTGAAGCAGCTTGCGGATGGCCTTGTTGCTGCCCGTGCCACAGTAGGCGAGGGCCACCGTCATGATACCACCGTAGCGCAGGGTGGGATCAGGGTCATTGAGAAGGCCCTCGACCAGAATGTCAGCTCCCTCCTGGCGGCCGTACATGATAAGGGCCATGCCCATGGCGACACCCCGGACAATCTTCTCGTGGGTTGTCTCGTGAGCATAGGTAATCATGTCCTCGATAGCCTTGGCGTTGCCGGTGCCCAGCATGATAAGACCCATGGCAAGACCAACAGCTTCGCCGTTGAGGGCCGAGTCCTGGAATAGAATGTCCTTGAGCTTGTCAAAGATATAGGTGTCACCCGTGGCCATTCCGGCAATACCGAGACCGAGGGCGCCACCGTGTTGAAGGACCTCATCCTCGGCATAGGTGAACTGGTGGTCAAGATATTCAAGAGCGTCGGCGCCATGGTTGGCGTGGATCAGACCGTATGCGTACAAGGCGCCACCCTGGCTGAACACGGAGCCGCTGCCAAGACCACCCGCGCGGGGCAGGTAGGGCTCGAGGAGCTTACGCGACTGCGATAGATTGCCTCGATGCATAACACCCAGAGCGGCAGTAGCAGTAAACTTGGACCAGTTGACAGCCTTGCCGAGCCAGTCAAGGTTGTCGCGGAAGAACTTGTCGTTGGTCGTGCCCTGGTTCATAAAGGCATTGCAGAAGGTGACAGCGCTGTGGAAGATGGAGCTGCGGCCCTCGAGACTATCGCGGACCTTATTGAGGATGCTGTGGTCGCTGCGATTGTTTCGGTAGAGAAATTCAAGGTTGAGATAGATCGTCTTAGTGCCGTCAAGAATAGATCGGACGTTGCGGTATGCCTTGGCTGTATCCTCGTCGAGCTCATCCTCAGGATCCTCCTGCTGGTTATCAAGCAGGGACTCACCCTCGCCGTTACCTTCCTTAGCTTCGGTAGATTTGTCCTCTTGAGGGGGTTCTCCGGAGGGCAGAGAGTCGATGACCTTTCCGAGGAACTCTTGAGTGCCGTTGTCGTAAAGGTCAAAGGCAATCTGGTAGGCGTTGGTCAAAGAGATGCGGTCGCCATTGTCGACCAGTGTGCGCAGCATGCGAGAGGCCTCCTCATCCGAGTTGAGATAGACAACGCACTTAGCAATGGCAAAGTAGTCTGGGTTAGGGATCTCGTTGAGCAGGTCGAGAATGAGGCGCAAGATGTCATGGCGGAAGCCCCTCTCCTGAACGATGTCCATGCAAATGCCCAAAGTGTAGTCCATTAGCTCCTCGGCGGGGCCTTGTGGCTGGGAGGCATCCTGCGACTTGGGCTTGGATTGCTTCTGTTCCTGGCTAGCACGCTTAATGACATGGCGCAGGACATCAAGATTTTTGGCCTCGACGGCAATTCCAACGACCTGCCTATACCGCCCCTGCTGGATGCAGCTCTCGAACAGGCGATCGATGACGCGGCGCAGGGCAGCGTCTGTAGTCTGGTTCGGGATCTGGACAACGGAGCCAGAGTGAGCGTCATTTGCAGCGGGCTCGAGGGTGGCGTCCATTGTGGAGTTGTCGATGGAGTCGCGCGAGAGGAGCGACTTGGGGGGCAGGGCCTTCTGGGAGAAGGGAGTGGTGGGGGATGAGACCGCGACGTCGGTGATGTTGGAAAAGGTGGTTGCGAGCTCAGGCAGATCAACGGGCTTCTTGATAGAGGCACGCGTGTTCTTGACCGAGGTGGTTGCGATGTAGCGGTCGACGCACTTGGATATGATTGTGCTCTCAAACTCGCCAGGAGAGTCGAGCTTGAACAGGTCACCGGCGGCGAGGGCGAAGCTCATGGAGTCATTGTAGGCCTGGAGGTGGTAGTAGGCCTTGGATAGAACCAAAGCAGCCAGCTGGCGCTCGGGGAAAGACTCGTCTTCGTAGAGGGACTCGCTGTTGTGTTGCAGGCAGGGGTGGTTAGCTGCCTTTGTTGCCATCATGATCCAGCAGCGGCAACGTTGCAGGATCGAAAACACACGTGAACATACATTTGACTCAGTGCACCAGCAACTTCGGTCCAGACAGTATCAATATCGTCGTTGAGAGTCTGCAAAGCGAAGACCTTGAGCTCGGGTTCTTCCTCATCGAGGAAGGCGAGGATGCCGGTCGCAGACACGAGACCTGGCATGATTGCTGCAACGGAACGGACCCCTGTACAGCTGAATAGATAGAGATGAGAAGTATGAGAGCTAGGAGTATTAACAGAGTGGCTTCAAAAGTGTTTGGGCTTGAAGCTTTATGGAGATGGCGTGTTTGGAAAGGATTACGAGCAATCAGTACGAACAAGAGGAAAAGGAAGTGTATGATGGAAGGGAAGTAGAAAAAGAATACAACCGAATGATGATGGAAAGGTACCCACATGAGCACAGCAACACGTCAGGCACAGCTTCTGCCTAGAGGATCGAGCTGATGCAGGGACTGGATGAGTCAGCGAGGGTTGCCGAAATAGGCTATCACGTGAGAAGTGCGACATGGGTCTTACCAATTCCAGTGCAGCTTTTAGTCTGGATCACGTGCGGGCGTGACAGAAAAAAATGAACATGATGTCACTTACCCTGCATGGTCATCCTTAATATTTTGACTTACCCGGGAGGACATAGAGTTAGTGGTCCTGCCCTTGGGAAAGCTCTATCCAACAAAAGCATCACAACTATCCCTATCTCGCAAACGACGTGGCCACCTCTGTTGCCCGCCAATTGAGCATCATCGCCCTGTCACCATCCAATAATTCATCCTTGGCCGACAGGAATTTGCAATTGCCTGGCAGTTTTCGCATCTCTACGCCGCCCACAACGTCCTGTGACTACTTGATCTCTGCCAAAAAAGCCATCGAGGCGCGACGATGCCCGACTTGCGCTCCGACGATATCAGCCTTGTTGTCTAGCCTATCTATGACAAGAAAATAAAGGAAAAAAAGAGCCCGTAAAAGAGAGACGTGTTCGTTAGCCATCCAAGTGCGGAAAAAAAACGCGCCGCTCGCGCGCGCGCAACAGACCAGCAGTCGAATGGGACGCGCTTCTCACCAACTTCTCCCACTCTCTTCTCTTCCGCGCAACAATCATGGATCTCCGATCAGTTCTCAACAATGCTGACGCCAACGGCGGTCGCAGAAATCAGACTGAACGACAGACCCCAGCAAGACCCCAGCAGCAGCCTCCGACGCCGCAGCAGCAACACCCTGCTCTACCGCAACAGAGCCCCGTGTCATACCCCTACCGCGAATACAGCAGCGGCCATCACTCGTCCCCGGGTGGTGGACCCGAATACCCTCCTACGCATCAGCCGGGATACCAGCCGCCGCCGTCGCCGTACCAGCAACAGCAGCAACAGCAGCAACAGCAACAACAGCAGCAACAGCAACAACAGCAACAACAGCAGGGCGCGTACGGACCGGGAGGTAGGCAGGCGCCGCCTTCGTTACAGGTGGTTTCGTCATCGTCATCGTTTCACGACGTGACGTCGCCCGCCGGTCCGTCACCGTCTGCATACCGGGCGCCAGCTGCGTCGGGCGCTGCTCCTCCTCATCCCGCCCCGGGAAGCGGCGGCTACTCTTTTCCTCCGCAAGACATGACCAGCCCAAGCGTGCGCCATCAATACCCTCCTGGAGCACAGGCAGCACCACCATCGTCATACGCGCCGCGACACCAAACCCCCCAGCGACAGGATAGCTTCGGTGCTGGGTCGTCCAACGCGTACGGATCGCCTGTCGTCGCCGTCACACCTGGCCCTCATCCTCCTCCCCAGTACCCAACGCCACACGCATACCCATACCCACACGGCAGTCCGACGACCCAGCAGCCTCCCCAGCCCGAGTTCACCCGCCAACCGTCAACTCCTCGAGCTGCACCACCTTCTCAACGCCCCATGAGCAGCGGTCATCACGCCTACCCTCACCCTCAACATCCCACGAGTCCGTATCAGCAGCGCACTCCCTCGGTGTCAGGTGCCCAGCTGCCGCCTCACCCGCAGCAGTCCAAATCGTCACCGCCTCCGCCTCCACCTGTACCTGTACTTGTACCACAACAGCAGCAGCAGGCTCCCCTGCCGACAAACCGTCCACCTCTAGCGATGCCGCACCAGCGCGACAACAGTCCGTCAGTTAGTCCCAAGACTCGCGTGCAGTCCGTATCCGACATGACGGCCGATTCCATGGCTGTTGACCGTGCCACAACGCCAGCCAAGAGAAAACTCGATGACCGAGACCTCAGCCCGCAGGAGTTGGAGCATAAGGAGCCGCGACCGCCGCCCGGTGCCGTTAATGGCGACCGTTCGTACAAGACTAGCTCATCTGCTTCTGCTACTCCTGCTCCCGGTGCCCAGCCTGAGCCCGTTATCAAGTCCGAAGCCGAACCACGCAAGAAGCGCACATATTACACATCGCCGCCCATCTGGGCACAGAGCAGCCGCTCCCTGGGCAAACAGCTCCCAAAGAATGCCAACTTTGTCTTGCAAAAGAGGATGCACGCTCCTAATGGCGTCAAGAGCAGTGAGTCAGTTCCTGATACAGCTGCTGAGCCCATCCTAGGCAATACCTCTGAGCGAACAAGATTATTACGCACTTCACAGCCACCTGCACCGTCCACATCCGCAGCATCAGTCGCAGTCGCGGCCGAACCTGCACCACCTGACATTCTGGGACCTTGGGAGCCAAGTCTGACCGGTGTTCGACCATACGAGGAGGTCTCACGAATGGTGGCCGACTTTCTGTTCGTGCACGTGGTCAATAGCGAAGACATGGGCGAGGTGCGCAGCCGCGGCATCAAATTCGAGGTGGAGGCCAAGCTCGGTACCCTGATTGACAAGGATACAAACCACCGAGTGTCGCGGGGGATTGAATCCGAGGTCATCTTACAGGACAATGGCCGGACAGCCTTCCGGAGTAGCATGACGGAGCTGCATCACAAGCTCTACAACGAGTTCCTCAACAAGGCAGTCATCCAGACGGACCCTAGAAGTGGTACCGGACGGGTGCAAGTGCAGTACGCCCACCGACGTGAGATGGACCGCTTTGTAGAGCTCCCCCAGGACCTGCAGAACAACCTTCCCGGATGTATGCGGTCTCGACTGGGCTCTTCGCGCGCCCGCAGCATCCGTTTGCGTCTGACGTACGACCAGAGGACGCGCGAGGCCCTTGCCGCCATTGTCAAGGCCCGCGTCGCTGATATCGACCTCCACATACCCTCTTGCCCTTTCGACTGTCGTATCAGTGTCAACCTTGAAATGGACTGGGATGGTCCCGTTGAGCAGCTCGAGCAGCTCTATGCCAATCAGAATGATCGCTCTAGGAACCCTGACCGTAACAAAGATCGTCTCAGCTACAAACATGGTCCCTATCAGATAGATCTTACGCAGGTCACTCAACAACAGGGAAGCCCAGCGGTATGTGTCTGCCTTTCTCCTTTCTCGCCTTCCCCTCTTCTCTTCTCCTCGCTCCTCTGCTTCAAATCAAAACCCTGCTAACTCTTTATAGAATATGCGTGTGGAAAAGGAACACGAACTCGAAATTGAGCTCAACCCCGACATTCTCATCGTTCAGGGCCGCAAGGCTCTCGAAGGTGGTGACCATCGCTACCAGGAACTGATAGAAGGTTTCGTCGACAATATCCGCGTTCTATCTCGCAAGGCCCGTGAATTCCAATGAGCCAGCCCTTGGATGATCTGCACGTGCTTTACGTTTCTCATTGGTCTTGAGGGCCTGGTCCTGTTTTATTTTATAAATAGGCGTCGCAGTATTTTCCTTTCCCGTTTCCATTATTTTACGGGTCACCCCTAGGGATAGAAGAGAAATGCTACGAAGAAAGAAAGAAAGAAGAAGAGGGGAAAGATTCTGGTCTAATCATGCACATGGTGCACGAAGCAAGGGTTGTATTCATTTCTTGCATCTTCTCTTTAGTCCTTTTCGTATCTTGATTAATGCTCTCAGTGTGCAAACTCCTGGGTTCTTTGTATATTCTTACCGAGTAGAAATGAAATTCCATCTCTTTTGATACGACAGACCACTTGGAACCAATATCTCAAGAGTTCATCGATGCTGTTCATCAAAAGGCGAGTGACAACGTTATAAGTTGCAATTCGCTTTTAGTTTTACTACTCCAAGATCCTAACCTATACTAGAAATGGAATATTGAAGAAAGAGACAAAACATTGATAAGAGATATTGATAATACATGGCTTTTCATTAAGGAAAAAGAAACGAGACTAGCTACATCTTGTGCTCTATCCCTTGAGCTCTTTAACATTCCGATCGGATCCCTCAGCAGGATCAATCTCACCGTCGTTGCTCATGGTGACCTCGCGACCTTTTTGAGGGGCCACGGCATCCGAGTGAGTCTCAATGTTGTCCGCATTAGCGGCGTCAATATCGTCCTCGAGCTCCTCGGGCAGAATCTGATTTAGGATCATGGCGATAAAGGCCGTCACAGCAAAGCCAGTCTCCATAACCAGAACAATAGCATCGAAGAAGCCTTGAAGATCACGGTCGTCTCCAGAGTAGGTAAAGACATTGTCGAAATAGGTGGGGATCAGGGTAGCTCCGTAGCCCATTGACAGGGCAGCCGTCAGGATGAAGCGGTTGCGGCGACCAAAGGGTGAGGCAGGGCGGGCGATAATGGCCATACCCGAGACGGTAACAGCACAGAAGAGGAAAGTGGTCATGCCACCGAGGACGGGTGAGGGGATGGCGACGAGGGCGGCGGCGAACTTGGCCACGACGCCCATGAGGATGAGGAAGAAGCAGCACATGTAACCGGCGCGGCGGTTGGCGCAACGCGTTAGGGCAATGACACCGTTGTTTTGGGCAAAGCATGACATGGGAGTAATGGTCATAAGGGCGGCGAAGCAGCCGGCCAGACCGTCGGCCAGAATACCGCCCTGGATGCGCGACTCGTACGTGTTACCCGTCACCTCGAGGCGGGAGACATCGCATGTAGCCGTAATATCACCAATAGCCTCAGTAGCGACGAGAATGTACAGGGCCAGAATTGGCAGTACCAGAGGCGGATAGACGGACAGCGGGAAGGTGTGTACCCAGATGAAGGAGCCAGCGGGAGCGGCATCGATACCGGAGCGGTCAAAGTACCCACAGGCAGCGGCGATGATGCAGCCAACAAGGAGGCCAATAACAACCGACGTCGACTTCATGATGGGGGAGCCAAAACGCTCGCACAGAATGATTGTGACAAAGACGGAGAAGCCCAGGCCCAGGTATTCGGCGGAGCCCCAGGGGAGGGCATGAGGCGATTCGGTTGTCGGGCAAAGAGCGTAGATGCCCGTGGCCGTGGAGGGGCTGGAGCAGAGGCCGGTGCCACCCATCCAGTTCTGGAAGCCACTCTTGATGAGCTTGACACCGATGAGCATGACGGTGGGGCCAGTGACGACGGGAGGGAAGGTGCGGAGGAGAATTCTGGCCGGAACAAAAGACATGCCGATCTCGAGCAGGGCGCATACGGCGCAAGTACCGAGGATGGCGCCGTAACCCTTGGGGCAGGGCAAATTGGCACCAGTTGCTTCATCAGTGGGACAGTAACCGTTGGCGTACATCTGTGATAACGCGCCCTGGGCAATGGGGATAATGGTGAACGAGACACCGACGACGGAGAGGAGGCCGGTGCCAACATAGTAAGGTGTCTTCCAGATGTGGAAACGAGTGATTTGGACGGTCGAGAGGATACCGGAGACGATGAGGGCCGTGGAGACGAGGTACTGCTGCTCATCGGCCGTTAGGTTGGCACCACTGGCGCCGGCGAGGAGAATGGGAGGCGAAATTATTCCAGCCAACATGGACAGGGCGTGCTGAAAACCGAGTAAGGCCGAGAGGAGGATAGGCATGCGGTCGTGGAGGCCGAAGAAGGGACTCGAGGAGCGGCTAGAGCGGGTGATGAAGGGGATGTTGGGACGGAAGAGGGAAGCGTAGTCGTAGTTTCCAATGAGGCCATCGCGTGTGGTGACCTTTTGAACAATGCGCTTGATGACGGGCTTCCTAGGCGGAGCTCCGGGGAGGGTAGGAGAGTCGGAGGAGTCCATTGTGGGATGTTGGTCCAAGATGGAGGTGTATAAGTGTACGTAAATGGTATATGGCGCCTTGCTATATATCGTCTCGTATCGAGTATCAGGTGTCACGAACGACTAAGAACGTAATTGCAAGGTCCTTTCTTCTCAATTCGTTCTTCCACGAGGTGGAGTAGAATGTTGAGAGGACCTGGCGGTTATTGAAGCGGCGAACCTGCTGAAGCCGCAGTGATGAGAGGATCTCCTTGGAGAAGGAAGATGTTTAAAACCAGGGTGATGAGAGAAGCAGTGGGGAAGGAGGACGAGCGAGAAGGAAGATAGATGGTGATATATATTAATAAATCGAGGGTATCGTAGATTCTAAGCCTAGGGGAGTAATGGACCGGCGAGTTGCGATGTATGATATCAGGATGGAACGTACTGATAAGGATCATCGGGCGGCGCCGCTGTGGGGGAGTCCAGAGAAAGCAGTGAGAAGGAGGGCCGAGGGACATTGTAGCTTTTTGCAGGGATCAAAAGGATGGAGCGAGCCAGGGAATATCAGGCGCGGACTGCGCATGAGGCTATGCGTCCGTAGTGTTAACTCCGTATGAGTGTTACTGCTTTTACTACTAGTAAACAGTAAGTAATATGGGGGGCAATTATTAGTAGACTCAGTGAGACTGTGAGACTGTGAGTCTAGGGATTAGTGTCATTCGTTATCAGTGGAGCATCAGAAGGCGCCGTCTAGGCGTCGGTCGCGTGGCTTCCTTGAAATGGACGAACTAGGTTGCTCCTGCTATCTTCGAGGCAAATACACAAGCGCGGGAGCCACTTTTCTTTTTACTCGATTGCATTACCTTAGAGCTTACATTGGACAGTGGATACAGGATAATTAATACGTGATAATAATAATACTGAATACTAGATAGTAATACTGGGGAAGTTGCTCCCATTCTCTCATTAATACTTGGTATTACTACTTGTACCAATACATTATTACCACTACAGTAATACTACCCACGGTCTTTGCACTCTGGAATACTCATATGGCTTTCTTGTCCTCTTGTCCTGTTCCGTCGGACGTCGTCGAGTAAGTGGGTGGCAAAAAGAAAGTTTCCAAGGGCAAGAGGTTTCTATCCACTTGGGAGAGAACTAACCGACACGCTCACTCTCGTAACTCCATTCAGGGAAAGAAATAATAGATGTGTGCGCCCCCATCGCTTCGCCCGAAGACAGAGAAGGGAGGGGGGTGGGGGGGACAAGAATGTCCCCATCATACGGAAGGAGACATATTTGCTCTTTCCTTCTCCTGCATTGGAAGAAACCCCCAGAATTCCACTTCTTCAGCTTCTCTCCAAACATCACCAGTCATCACTTCCCCTCTTGGCCAAATCTCATCCTCCTCCCTTTTTTCATTCATTCATTTTTTCTTCATGTGGAATACTCGTTCTACAAAACCATCGGCGGCGCATTCCGCCATTGTGTAATCTACCACCTCAACCCGAGTATTGTGGGTTCATTGATACTGTCTCACTCCGGCCGTTAATCCGTCTATTCACCGGTAAAGGCCGCCCACCTGGTGCAGTCAGTTCAGCCTTGTGCCCCCGATAGAAAAATAATGAGGGGGATACAAAGACACGCGGAATCCGGCATCTCCGTCGACTATCGAATGTCTCTTTTTTCTTCTTCTCTCTCTCTCTCTTTCTCTCTCTCGTCTCTTCTCGATGGCCCGTGGCGGCGCGTTCCGTGGCGTCCATCGATCGGTCCATATGATCGTCCTTATCTTTCCCATTCAGCATCTCACTTTCTATTCTGCCATCCATCCCTAAAGGTCAACTGACAATTCAACTCGTCCATACTATTTAGGCGAAAGCCACCGGAATTTTCGGGCTTGTCGTGTACCCCGTTACCCTGTCCCGATCTATGCTTTGCCAAGAAGTGGCTGATATCCTTTGTGTGTCTAACAGCTGCGTGTCTCTTGGGAAACAAAAATTTCGCCCTGCAAACCATCTTACTAACGGTTCCTTTTCAATTTCTTTCTAATTTGACTTTACCTTGTACTCGTTTTCTCATGGATTTTTGATCCCAAAATTCCAGGGAATGTCAAGAAACATGTTGCAAACATGCCGCGAACATGCTGCGAACATGCCGCAAACATCGCCAAACCAAGTTAGGCATCTTTCTGTTTGTCCTCTGCGTCGCTATTGTTGATCACGGCAATCAGGGACTAGAACGTGGGACAATAGCAAGCAAGCCTAACAGAACCAACGATATCATGACTTCTTTGTTCCTTGTCAAGTGCCACATTTCAATGATTGAAATATCCGAAAACTCTCACCAAGATTTCACTTGTCCTTTTTTCATCATGCCATACTTTGTAGCATCCGACCTCTCATCTCGAGGTGAGATATTATTTCACAGGAAAAACATCAATACTCGAATGCTCGAGCCGGGGAGGCTTGACAATAGAAACTCAACATGGAAACCCTTTTGGTGGACAACGATGAATCTAGGCCCACGCCCCGGACGATGGCCACCAAATCGACATGGAGGCATCTCTTCGTCTTCACCAAATCATCACATATCGGTACCTTGGTAGCTGCAGTTTCAGTATGTGCGGCCACGGCTGGTCTCAAGACAATATTGGCCGTCTTTTTGGGCAAAATATTTGATGTCATTAGTGACTTCGGCACTGGAAAAAAGACTGGCAGCGAGGCTATGGACGGCGTCAGAGACTGGTGTCTCGTTCTCGTAGGCGTCGGGTTTGGCAACTGGTTGGTTAATTCGATTTTCCTCGCTCTATGGATCGTCTTCGGTGAGCTTCAGGCTGCCAGTGTCCGTGAGGACATGCTTGCCAGTCTGATCCGTTACGAACTGTCCTGGTTTGACTACCAGGAGCAAGGCGTCTCTAGTCTTCTTGTTCGCATTCAGACGTAGGTTCTTCATCCGACGAAAAGTTCGAGAAGTTCGAAGAAGAAAAGGAGGAGGGGAGAGCAGAGAAATAACAAGAAACGGGGATCTTATGAATGTATGCAAAGAGAAACAAAGCTAACAGCCCTTCTCCAGACAGACTCGGGAGCTTCAGCTTGCCACTTCCCAACTATTCGGCCTCTTCGTCTCGGACACGATGACTTCTCTGGCCTCGTTCGGATTGGCAGTTTACTACTCGTGGAGGCTCACTCTTGTCCTCCTTGCGACGCTCCCTGTCTCTCTCGCCATTCTGACCCTCGTCACCAGGCCGCTCGAGCCGGCTATCCAAGAACAAAGAAGGCATCTGGCTTCGGCCTCGAAGCATGTCACGTCATCCGTCACCGCCGTTGATCTTGTCAATGTCTTTAACGGCCACGACTATGAGCTGCGGCAATATACCACATCCATACGCCAGGCCGCCAGGGCCTATCTCATACAAGCCCGTTGTAACTCGATCCAGATGGGCTATGTTTCTTTCTGGGTCATTGCCATATTTGCAGTTGGATTCTGGTATGGCCTCTCTCTGGTCCAAGATGGACTTCCGCCTGGAAGTATCCTGACTACCTTCTACGCCACTTTGGCCTCCTTCCAGGGAGTTGAGTCTCTCATGCCCCATTGGCTCGTGCTGTCCAAGGGAATGTCGGCAGGTGCTTTTCTCAAGGCCGTCGTCACTGAAAATTCAATGAGTGGCCCACAGAGACAGAAGCAGCAAAGTACGGGAGGTATGATACCTGGAAACTGCTCTGGGCGTGTAGAGCTGTCAAATGTTAGAACGACTTCCTACCATCGTTTCTTCATATCTACGGCCAACCACTAACCATACAATCGCAGGTTTCCTTTGCTTATCCCTCTACACCAGACAACCATGTCGTCAGCCGTGTGTCCCTGATTTTTCCCGCTGGAGAAACTATATTCATCGTCGGTAAAAGCGGATCTGGGAAGAGTACCATCGGCAGCCTCGTTGCCAATCTATACGAACCCCTGGCCGGTAATATTCAGGTTGATGACAGGCCTATGAGAGCGCTTGATCTCGAGTGGGTTCACAACAACATTACTCTCGTCCAGCAGACGAGCGCATTTTTCAACGATACTATCTTCCAGAACGTGGCTCTCGGAAGCCATGACCCCAATTCGGTAACTGAACAGCAGGTCCTGAGTGCCTGCAAGGCTGCCATTTTGCAGCCCACCATCTCAGCGCTACCTCAGGGACTCCAAACCAATGTCGGCCCCGACGGCCATACTCTCAGCGGAGGCCAGAAGCAGCGGTTAAAACTCGCCCGAGCATTTATGCGAGATGCTCCCGTCATGGTTCTAGATGAGATCACCAGTGGTCTGGACCATGTCACGCGTTCCCTGGTCTTCGACTCGATCCGCTCCCGGCGCCGCAACAAGACGACAATCTTCATCACCCACGATACCTCACAGATTGGAGATGACGACTTTGTGTATGTCATGGAAGATCACCAAGTCGTCCAGGAGGGCCTCAAGAAAGATCTCCTTCGACATCAAGGTGGCCACTTTGAGGCCCTGGCAACAAGAGACACTGCCATCACGACTAACGTCAAAAACCCTCTAACTCTTACCATTGACGTTAAGTCTACTGATACTGCTCACCTGAGCACCCTGTCACCATCTACGCCGATGGTACGCACGAAGTCCTCTCGTGTGGCTGATTATCTACTTGATAGGCTCGACAGCAGAGCTCTCACCCCTGGGAACCCCCATATGTCAAGTCGGATACCTAGCATCGGCCCTTCTATGGACTATGTGGTGCAACCAAGAAGGGACGACACCATACGGATGCCAGCTGATAGTCGCAGCCGTTCATCACCGCCACCCGATCCGGACCATGCTCCTGGGGAATGGACAAATGAAACCAAGCGTTTCTCCAGATATCTCTCAGACAAATTCTCTCTCGGCAATGACCAGCGCGATCTTCATAATTCCGTTACTCCTTCGGCTACCTTCTTCCCTCATAAGACCTCTCAAGAAAATCTCCTCCGTCACTCGTTCACAAGCGGCTTCTCCTTCTCCCAGCATAACAGTGTACCGACTTCCCTGGATCTAGAGGCGGGTGCCATAGAAATGGCATTCGGTCAAATCGACATACAAAGGCCGGCACAAGATGAGGAAACATCACGCTTCTCCTTGACAAACGAAGAACCCTACCAATGCAATGAGGAGGGCCACGACGGCGACCACAATTATGATAGAGACGAGCCCCCACTTGATGACGACTTCCCAAAGCCGAAAGCCATCAAAAAGAGGGATTCGATATTTACCACATTGAAAACAGTGTGGCCAGGTATCGGGCCACGAGACAAAGCCACCTTAATCATTGGAGTCATATCCAGCATAATCGGAGCCGCAGCAATACCGGCCTTTTCGTACTCATTTGCACAGCTTCTCAGCGTCATGACAGCCCCCGGTGACAAGGTTAGCAGTGGAAAGGAGTGGGCAGGTATCATGTTAGCTCTTGCCCTGATCGATGGAGCCTGCTGGGGTGGAAGTCGGTATCTTCTTGAGCGTGTGGGAGAGTCTTGGGTCAACAGTATACGTACTGAGGCACTTCGGCGAATCCTCCTGCAGCCCATGCCGTGGTTTAGACGATCTAGTAACTCTCCAAGTCGCATAAGCGAATGCCTGGACCGCAACGCCGAGGAAATGCGCAACATTGTCGGCAAGTTTATACCCATCATCGTGGCCGTGGCGATTATTGTCTGTGTTTCTGTCCTCTGGGCACTTGCCGTGTCGTGGAAACTGGCACTCGTCACCCTGACACCATATCCGGCTATGTTGGGCGCGGTCAAGATCTTTACCATACTCAGCAGCAGGTGGGAAGCTCAGTGCAATGAGGCGGCAGAGGAAGTAAGTGCCACGGCGACTGAGATCCTAGTCAACATACGCCTTGTGCGAACCTTTAACCTCGAGCACTACTTCTCCCAGCGGTACCAGCAAGGCATCAGCCGCACGCTTCTCGTGGGCTTCAAGAGGGCTCTCTTCACATGCGGCGCATACGGACTGTACCAATCCCTAAACTATGCCATGACAAGCCTTGCCTTTTACTACGGCACCCTTCTACTTGCCGACAAGAAGGAACTAGATGTGGCCGATGTGATTCAAGTCATCAACCTATCACTCTTTAGCATCGGTACGGCCACAGGAATCCTCAGCAGCATCCCTCAGCTCACCATGGCCCAAGCCACGGCATCCCGGATCATTTCTTACATCAACATGTCGACAGAGCCGCCTGAGGGCCAAAAAGGCAGCACCAAGCTCGTAACGCCTCTTCCCGTAACTATGAAGAGTTTGTCGTTCTCACGCAATCGAAACATCGTCCTGCATGGGGTATCACTCGACATTCAACCGGGTCGTTGCACTGCCATAGTCGGCCATTCCGGCTGTGGAAAGTCAACGATTCTATCACTTATACTCGGTCTTGAAGCCGTCAACGCAGACGGCTTGGAATATGCCTCCGTTCCCTCCAAACACGTCGACGTGGGTAATATGCGCCGTCACCCAGGAATGATGTCGTATGTACCACAGGCGTCATTTCTTTTCCCGGCCTCAATATCGGATAACATCACGTACGGGCTGCCAGTGGACTCTACGCTGCGCCATCCAGAAAACGTCGCAGACGCTGCTCGCACCGCCAGCATTCACGACTGGATCGTTTCCCTGCCACAGGGATACGATACCCTCGTTGGCGACGGCGGTCAAACAGTTTCGGGTGGACAGGCACAGCGTCTGAGCATTGCGCGCGCCCTCGTACGGCACCCATCTCTCTTGGTCCTGGATGAGCCGACGAGTGCGCTAGACGCGGAGAATGCAGCAGTCATACAGGAGACGGTTCGCAACGCTCATGGGGCTGATAGGGCAGTCATTTTTGTCACGCATAGCAGGAAAATGATGCAGGCAGCGGACTATATTATTATGCTTGGTGAAGGTGGCGTCGTTCTCCAGCAGGGAAAGTATAATGAATTGGTAAACGCGAGGGGTCCGTTTGCTCATCTAGTTGGATCAAATGATGATGTTGTATGAATTACGCCAGAGTTTTCATTTTTCATTATTCAGTTATGTCGTTTCATTCAATACTCTTTTCTCAGTTTCTTCTCTTCTTTCTCGTTCTTCAATACTTGTACAATTCATGCCATTTCAGTCAGATGATTAAATCACATGTCTGAACGCTGTCTACCAGTCAGGCTTGACGCATAGAGCCTCCCACGAATGAGCTAGCCACAAGAGTAGGAAATGCACTGCCAGCAATACAAGGCTCAACATCAGACCGCGATGCCACGGCGGAGAACCAAACTCGACATGCCCATGATTATTATGCCGGGTGACCAACCACCCGGACACATCAGAATCCCTGAAGTCCATGACTGCCATGACGACGAGAGGTATACCCATCTCGACTTTCACCATATACGGCCAGCACGGACGAGTCAGAGTCATGAGCTTGATGATGAATAGACCCATGCGCACGCTACGGTTGGCCACGTCTTCGTGCAAACCAATCAGTCCCAGAAACCAAAACAGGTACATCTGGGTACGGTATCGTAGCTCTTCTGTCCTGGTGCGCGGTGGGGCCATGAGTAAGGGAAGCCGGGGACTATCTTGCTGCTCACGTTCATGATCCTGATTCTGCGCCGTCGCTGTATCTCCTGTATAACTGACAGAGGACGATGTAGGCAATGAACTTGCCCCTGATCTGTCGCTGTAGCCCTCCTGAGACTTTGTCACTGTCATAGCGTGCGTGCGCAAGCTACTGACGTCCGAGGAGTGGGAATTGTCGTTACGCTGCTCAGCTAGTCCAGGCTCACTAACGGCAGTCAGGTCCGGTGTGCCACTCCTAGCTGGGGAGTCGAGGTTCTGTACACGGGTCACGTTCGCCCCGCGTCGGTTGAGCGGTGAACCGCGTATCTGTTCAGCTCGGTCTACGGGCTCAAAGACGTGCTCGTGTCTCATGACGGCCAGGACCTCACTAGCGCCGGGGCGCTCAGCTGGGTCCCGGGACAGGAGCTTCTTCAGCAACTTGTACAGGCGCGATGGCAGGTCCGGTCGTTCTCTGCGCTCAAACTCGAATCCCTGCCAGTCACTGATTTCGGCCCGCAGCTCGTCGATATCTTCGAGCTCCTCCTGCAGAGCATTGGCGCTCCGGTATGGTAGTGTGCCAAAGCACATGAAATACAGAATCATGCCGAGTGAGAAAATGTCAGATTTGGTGGTGAAGTTTGCGTACTGCCCCCTCTCGTCGCTCTTTAGAACTTCGGGAGCGCAGTAGGAAATGGTCCCCGTTGATCCTGTCGATTTGCGCATCACATTCTCCGGCTGCACCTCTCCAAAGTCGCTGATTAGGCATCGCAGAGTACCACCCTCGCTGTGGAGAAGACAGTTGCTGGGCTTCAGGTCGCGGTGAATGAAGTTGTTGGAATGCAAGTAGGCAACACCCGAAGTAATGTCTTTAAACAAAGAATATATCTCGTCAAATGAGAGACGTCTGCTCATGCCAAAGAGGTCATGGGGGTTTTCAGCCTGACCCTTGGAGCGCCTACGCATCTGGGCCTTGAGCTCCTCCTTGGTGGCCTCCCTCGGAGCGCTCCCGACGAGATACTGATGCAAGTCACCGCCGTTGCAATACTGTTGAAGAATGAAGGCACAAGCAACACTGGGCCCGAAACGTGTAATTTGGGCGCTTTCCAGCCACACATGACGGTACGAAACGAGGTTGGGATGTGACAGCCTGTTCAGCAGTCCTACCTCAGACAGCACTTTTTCAAGCCAACCGTGGTCATCTCCCACTGGAACGCGCTTGCAGGCAAAGTGGCCGAGATCGCATTTGTCAATCTCGTGACGGACCAGTAGAACAACGCCCTTTCCGCCTCTTCCTAGGACCTTCTCCTCTTTGAAGAACGTCTCGAAGTATCCAGGGCTAAAGGCTTGCTTTCGAATCCGGTTGCCCTCTGTCGGCGGCACACCCGGGTTGCTGGAAACGAATTCGCTAGTATTGCTTTGTTCTGAATCCACGGAATCCTGTACCCAGGGTTGCATGGACTCATGCACCTCTCCGGGTCCTCGATGTACCCTGCCGGTGGATGTTGACGACTCAGACTGGGAGCCTCCATCGCCTAGCGCGGACCTAGTTGTGGTTTCGTGTCGTGGGGCGGCCTCCTCGGCAGCGGCCTGGAGCATGCGAAAGTAGTCAGGGTTTACGTAGGATTCGTGGGCTGTCTCAAAACGTGTATTGTCACTGTAAGGGTCGTCGGCTGAGGCCGCGCGGGGCATCGGGCGGTGGCATGTTGGGCATTCTGTGAGACCACGAATTTCGAGACGATGAGAGGTTGAATCGCGGACGACAATGGCATCCCGGTGGCGGCTGAGATGAGGTGTCAGCAAGTGATTTAATGAAATACATGGCAAAGGGCAATCAGGTAAAAAGCGTAGAGCAAAGAAGGTCAGTGTTGACTCACAGGACAATTTCGCGACCCTCTTGCGGGTAGTAGGCAATCAGTGACATGATGACGTAGCAGGCGATAAGTTAAGCAACGGTATCAGCGTCGGCATGACGTCCACCCGGGGGGTGGTAAAGTCTTTTCTTCGAGTTGGGCGTTGGAAATTAAGAGATAATGATTTTGCTGTGTTAAGTGTGACTTTGGTAAATTATCGCTGTTCTTCGGATTCTTGGTTTGAAATGTCAAAAGGCAAACCCATCGGTTAGCTCTGCTGATGTCATACGCCGCGGATTGTTACTAGATGCCATTAGTGGTAATATTCTCTAGGGGTGGGGATGTATTTTTAGTGGTAGTAGTGATTCACAAGTACGAGTACAGTGTTCTAGTGGTCTCCGTATCGATACTTGAAGATGGTTGGACGGTTGAGGATGATGGTGCGTTGACCAGAAATTATGAATGAGGGATGGTAATAGTGTATTCCTACTGTCCGCTTGAGTCTAAGAGGGCGAGAAGAAGAAAATTAAATCAAGGAAGGAGCTAGCCGTGCATTAATACTTGGGCAACTCACCTACATAAGGAAGGAACCTCATCCACCGCGCACCTTCTAGAAATGACGAGAAACAAGGAAATATAGTGCGTGGGGTAAGAGAACTGCAACATTAAGACTACGACTCTTTTGCATCGTGATAGTCATCGTAGAACGAAACAAGACGACTGGTCTAATTTCTATCAGCTCGAATATCTCTCTTAAAACGATATCAGGCTTGTTTCTGAATTGATTAACATGGTGGTGGTATTAGAGGCAACAAGAGGAGCCTGTTATGTACTCTTTCAAGTTCCCAGTTGACGGCTTAGCGAGATAAGAATTTTTCCAACTTACTAACTGGCTTGCCCAATATTTGCGGTAACACAGCGATAATACTCTATAGGACGTACTTATACCGCAAGACCAAATATGCATCGTTATAGAAGGGAACCAACTTACTGTTATTCCGCATATTGGGTTCTATAGTGTGGAACTCTATGGTCCGTGTAAGCCGACCCACCTACTAATAGATCATGTCCCTCTTCCGATAACTTTCCTTAACCTTTAACATTCTAAACACTATTATCCCTTTCTCGCGTTTTCTCGCACATTTTACCACTTTTCAACTTAGAAAAAATACTATTATTAACTATATTGACTCCCTATTCTAAGAATACTATTTATTCTGCCCTTAATGATATTAAATCTAGCGTTTTAACGCATTAAGCCTCTAAACGCTAGAACATCCCCCTCACGACCTTATATAGCCAATCTTATAGCGCCGAGCCTTATAAAATATCTATAGAGCCTCTTTAACTGTTATTAATAATATAGGAAGAACGTCTCTATAGTTAGGTATTAAGGACTTATTAGAAGTAATAGAGAAAGTAATAAAGTGTTATACTTTTTCCTATCTTTTTAGGTAACCTAAAAAAGTAGAGATATCCTTAATTATTAGATTTAATAAGAACGGTATTAGATCCTACAGATAGAGTGTGACGGTTGGTACGACTCTATGCTATAGGGTAGTCAGAGAAGTGTCGGTTTTTATGTTGGCGAGGCCGTTAGGGCGTCTAACTAAGCAATAAGGCAGTTATAGTCGTAGGTGCTAATTATAGAAGGAACTAGGGCTCTAAAAGAAGCGTTAACTATTATATTAATAGCTAGGTAAAGAGTGACTATACTATAGAAATAAGGTTAACTATATACTAGGCGATCGTTAGGGTTCGTGAGACGATTATAATAATCGTTATAGTAGTCGCTACGATCACGGGAGCGATCGCAATAATCGTTACTTAGAACTAAGCGATCGTGTATAAGTAGGCGCAATAGTGATAAGTAAGGAAAGAAGAAAATATAGGGTGCACGTAAAGGTCGCCTAACGGGCCGTAATATAATGCCCCTCTTCTAAGGATCTTATCCTAAGATCCTATATAAGCGTTCTTATCCTATCTATTAGTTATTCTATAAGTTCCTTCCCTTATCCTTCTATCTTACTATATCTAGCTATATTACTAAACGTTCTTAAAAATCGTCTATAGACGCTAAAAATCGAAAGGTTCGTCTCCTTAAGACAATACTTAGAAATTCTATTAATATACCTTTATATTCCTTTTACTAAGGCCGCGGCCTATCGTCTTATTAGGTCTCTTAGCTTAATTCTTCTTAATGCGCCGAGTGTGTCCGCTTTAATAAGGCATCCTATAACGTATCTAGCCCGTCCCTTTCGTAACTATAGAAACTCGTAAGGAACTATTCTAAGCTTAAGTTAGACCTTAAAGAGGCCGAGGAGGAACGCTATTATATAGAAGAAGAGATAATTAAAGCTCGTCGATAAATAAACGCGAAGGTCGAGCGCCTTTAAAAATAAAAGAAATTATAGTTTAAGAAGATAATGCGTATAGTATCTTATAGTATCGATTCGGTAGAGGAGTTAGAATATATAGAAAAGGAAGAGGTAGAACGCGAAGTATAGCGTGCTACTAAAGAGCGTCCTTCCTTAAGCGGGGGTCTATTCTTAGATATCGAGATTAATCTACTCTTATTATTTAATAACGTAGCGTTAACTCTATTATTTTTTATTAGTATAGGCGTTACTAAGGAGTCGTCTTTATCCGCTAGGGTTTTAAATAATTCTAGTAAAACTATTATATAAGGCGAAGGTAGTTCTTAAGGTATTTTATAGGTTCTTATATATTTTTAGTATCGTTATATCCTTTCTATTTAACTAAATATTATATTTCTCTTTATAGTTCTCGTTTATTAATAATTTATTTAGGTTTATATTCTTCTTTATATACCTCGATATATAGTTATTATTTTACGTTCTATAGTATAGGTTCTAGTAGTAAAATATAAAAAATAGAGTATATCTTTATTATAGAAGGTAGTAATAGTTTATAGTTAGTATCTAATAGTGCTTCTTTAATTTTAAATAGTCTAATTTTCTTAAAGTTAAGTTTTATACTTAATCGAGTTATCTAAAAATTTCGTTAGAGTAGGTAGACTATATCTCCTCTCTTAAAGATTAGTCCCTTTAATCTTCTTTAGTTATAGTATTTTACTATTCTTTAGCGAATAAAGGAAAGTTCTTTCTATATCTAGGAGTATAGTAATTATAACTAATTAGCATTAAGTATTGCCTTTTCTATAAGTAGTCTTAGTAGTATCGTTTAATATACTTCTAGGTTAAATCTATAGTTAGCGTATATTAGTATAACTTAAGTTAATTCTATAATCGAGCTATTATATATAAGTTATATAGTAGGTAATTTTAATACCTAGTCGTTTTATTTATAGTTAATATAATACTATAGGTATTATTCTAGAGTTTAGTTAAGTCGTTCTATCTAACTATTAGTTTAAGGGTAGTATACTATATTAAGTTTATATTTTAATCTAAGTTATACTATAAGGGCTTATTAAAATTTTAAGGTAAATATTATTCCTCTATTAAATATAATTTCTTTAGGCAATCTATAGTTACTAATAATAATCTTAAGGAAGGTATATACTAGTTCTTCTATATCTAATACTTCTTTATATAGTATAAAGTACCTATACTTTATAAGTCTATTAGTTATAATAAAAATACTATTATATACTATATTTATTATTAGTTCCTTTAAAGCTAGTAGCTTTATAATATAATCGAATATAATAGATTCCTATAGCTATAATAGTATTAGTAATAGTCTTAATTCTCTATATAGTTTATATTATACTAACTTACTTTATATATATATTTTATAATTCTTAATAACGTTTTCTATATCTTTCTTAATTCTAGAATAATCGAATGTTTATTATATCTAGTTAAGGGTTTTCTATATTCCTTAATATCCTAATATCTAGTAGCTATATATATTACTAATAGTTTTCTCCTATAATTCTAGCGGTAGCTATATTTATTCATTCTAGATTAGTAGTTATTTTAGTTTAATATCCTTTAGATAGTTATCTAGCTTCTATTTTCTTATAATATTATAGATTTCTTTAGTAATTAAATTATTAGGTTTAATAGTAAACCTTAGCGTATTTAATATATAATATTTAAGATTCCTATTATTATTAGTATAGAGAAGTTATCTTAAGGCTCTTAGATCTTTAGTATTATAATTAGGTCTTCTACCAAGAGTGTCGGCTCTCCTATTCTCTAATCCCTTTCTATAGATAATTTTAAAGTTAAAGTCGGCTAGATATTCGGCGTATTATAACTATCGCTTACTAAGTTCTTATATAGTTATAAAGTAGGCGATATTCTTATAATCTATATATACTTTAACCTTATACTTACTTCTAGTTAGGTAGTGTTCAAATTCCTTGAATAAGTTAATAATAGCGAGGAATTCTTTATCGTATATTAGATAATTGAGTTTAGCGCTATAGAGTTTCTTTAAATAGAAGGCGATTAGTTATAATCGTCCTTCTTTATCTCTCTTTACGACTTATACTCTAAGGGTAAAGTCTAAAGTATCGGTTTTTAGTTTAATTTACTATTTAGGGTCGAATGTTAAGAGTATAACATTAGAGGTAATAATTTCCTTAAGTTTATTAAAAGCTTTTTAGTAGTTATTTATCTATTTAAACTCTTACGTTCCCTTCGTAATATTTATAAGGGGTATTGCGATTTTTCTAAAGTTTCTAATAAAACGTTAGTAATAATTAGCGAATCTAGTAAAGGACTAAATATCCTTAATATTCTTAGGTATTAGCTAATCGCGCATTAACTCGATCTTTTTAGGGTCTATTCTAATTTCATTATATATAATAATATATCCTAAGAACTCGACTTCCTAGATATAGAAATGACATTTTTCTAGTTTAACGAGTAGTTTTATATCTTATAGCGTTTAAAGTACCTTATAGACATATTCCTTATATTCTTTAAGGGTATCTAAGAAGATTAGGATATCGTCTAGGTAAGCTATAATAAAGATATTAAGGTACTCTTATAGTACGTTATTAATTATCCTTTAAAAAGTAGTAGGAGCATTAGTAAGTCTAAAGGGCATTACTAAATACTTAAATAGTCCGAACTTTATACGAAAAGCGGTTTTCTATTCGTCTCCTTTTTTAATTTAGATAAGATTATATACTCCCTTTAGGTTAAGAGCCGTGAAGAACCTCTTGCTATAGAGTCGGTCTTATAGTTCTATAATAAGTAGTAATAGTATACGATCTTTAATAGTGATCTCGTTAAGCTATCGATAATCTATAACTAACTATAGTTTCCCGTTCTTCTTTAGAATAAATATAATAGGGTATCCTACTTCTAATTTAGATGTTCGAATATAGCCTTTACGTAGTATATTATTAATATATTCATGTAGTGTTTTAAGTTGCTTCTTATTGAGGTTATAGAGTTTGTGGAACTTGGTCGTAGTTCCGTTTTTGTCGCTTATGTGGATCATGCAGCTGTCGTCGTAGCATACTATCTATAAGAGGAGTTTGTGTTTCTTAGTGGTAGTGTTGTCGCCACTTCGTATTTAATTAGTGAGGGTATTAAGGTATTTCCCTTCTTATATAGGTTTCTATTCCTTTTTCTTCTATCGATATTCTTAGGCGTAGTGTCCCTTTTTACTATAGTTATAATAAGTTTCCTTCGACTTATCCTATATTATATCTAGTTCTATAGGTCTAGTATAGGTTGTTCTGCTTTAGGAGGTGCTTACGTAGCGTCATTATCTTCCTTAGTTAGCTTGGTTATTACGGCGATTGCCTTAGCTAATATAGACTAGTCCCTAATTGCGATTCTTATTTTATCGTTCCTTCTATCGTTTGTACTAATAGGTATCGATCCTAATAGCTATAGCGATATACTTAGATAGGCTATTAGGAGTGTTTTCCTTATAGAGTTCGTCCTTAACTTCCTCTTTAAGTCCTTAATAAAAGATACTTATAAGGGGCTTGTTATCCTATTTAGTCTTAAGAGCGATCTATCAAAAGATAGCGGCGTAGTCGGCGGTAGATCCTCGCTATTTAAGAGACTATATCTTCTATATAGCGTCCCTAGTGACGTCTACATTACCGAAGGCGTCCTTAAGGGCTTCCTTAAATCCCTTAAAGGTAGCGAAGATAGTCTTAGTTTCATTATCTCGGTTGTCGCTAGTTTTCTTAAGGAAGTTTCGTAAAATTAGTTCAAACTATAAAAGTGCTAGTCCTTCTAGGCAAGTTCCTATATATAGAACTTTATTATAGGCAAACCTAAGCTTATTAGGAAAGAACCTATAATAGGTTTTAAGTTGCGTGATAAATCCTTAGAGCTCTCCTCTAGTACCGTTAAAAGGTCTAGGGCTCCTAAGTTTAAGGGTTTTACCTAGATCCCTTAGGGTGTTATTATTATTATTTCTAATATTAGAGGACGTAGGTATAGCGGAAGATATAGTATTAGGTATTGCTTAGCGTTTAACACGGTAACGGTCTAAATAAGAGCTATTAATATATAACGGTTAGTACGACTCTATACTATAGGGTAGTTAGAGAAGTATCGGTTTTATATTAGCGAGGCCGTTAGGGCGTCTAACTAAGCAATAAGGCAGTTATAGTCGTAGGTGCTAATTGTAGAAGGAACTAGGGTTCTAAAAGAAGCGTTAACTATTATATTAATAGCTAGGTAAAGAGTGACTATACTATAGAAATGAGGTTAACTATATACTAGGCGATTATTAAATAAACGTAATAATCGCGAAGAGTGATTATTGCGATCGCTAAGTGATTAAGGTGATCACTTATGTTATGTGTAAGTGGAAATGCTAGTGATAAGTAAGAAATTTGTAGGGTACACGTGAGGGTCGCATAACGGGCCGTAACAATACAAAGGCATATTAATAGAATTTCTAAGTATCGTCTTAAGGAGACGAACTTTTCGATTTTTAGCGTCTATAGACGATTTCTAGGAACGTTTAGTAACATAGCTAGATATAGTAAGAAAGAAGGATAAAAGAAGGAACTTATAGAATAACTAATAGGTAGGATAAGAACGCTTATATAGGATCTTAGGATAAGATCCTTAGAAGAGGGGTATCGTGTTACGGCCCGTTATGCGACCTTTACGTGCACCCTATATTTTCTTACTTATCACTAGTACGCTCACTTATACATAACACCGCGATCGCTCGGTTCTAAGTAACGATCATTAACCTTATTTCTATAGTATAGTCACTCTTTACCTAGCTATTAATATAATAGTCAACGCTTCTATTAGAACTAGTTCCCTAAGAACAAGTACCTATGACTATAACTGCCTTATTGCTCAGTTAGACGCCCTAACGGCCTCGCCAACATAAAACCGACACTTCTCTGACTACCTTGTAGCACAGAGTCGTACCAACCGTCACAAAACTAGAGGGTCTTAGATTCTCCTTGAACGGCGGTGAGAGTGAATGCCACCACCCCTCCGACGACTAGGATAGCATAGACAGATCTATAGATCTAAGTCTTCTATACTCGACAGAAAGGCAGAGCAGGGCTCTTAAGGTCGTCTCTTAGGAGAAAAGTCAAGTATAGTCCTAAAAGGAGAGTAACAACAATCCACGTAGCCAAGTCTTCTATAAGCTTCGAGGACCACATTATAAAAAGCGGTGGAAGAATGAGGCGGCGTGAATGAGGCTTCCCGGTTGTAGGATATGCACTCTATATATACGATGTCGCTACGGAGAGATAGATAATGAAATACGGCCACTGCTATAATCCTAAAGGTAAAGTTTCGGGTTCCTAACTGTCTACATTCCCTCTAAATTGACCCACTTAACGTATAAATATTTGAAAAGTCCGGCGACCAAGTGGGTCAAGGTGGCAGCCTCACGATGCCAAGCTGACCCGTTTTTTATATCTAGACCCGCTTAGACTCGGGGCTTTTTAAAAATTTGTATGCTAAGTGGGGCACCAAGCTACTAGGACTGTTAGGATTACGCGAGCAGCCTCCCGGCGCTATTGTTAATCTAGCAATCGACTTAGAGCGTGACCTTCTTGACTCCTTTCCTTAACTTTAAGCTCTTGCCCCACAATATGGATCGCATTGTAGTGGCATCTAATGCCACGGAAGTAACAATTCCGAGAGCTACGGGCACGGTGTCTCTTCTTCTTTAGTTTCTAAGCAGCAGCGACATAGTGGACCTACGTCTAAAGTTTCTAAACGGCATAGAATACATTCTTAGCTACGCTTCATCGCGGCCGAATTTAACAACTGTCACGCCTTATGGCATTTTCGATGCCCGACTGGACGAGGTCCTCACGTTGGCGTTTGGACCCGGCCGATAGCTTAACATAAAGTAAGGTATACTTCCCGGTTGACGGCTGAAAACTAACCGTTAAAGACGTATTCGTTAAGAGCACTGTAACGCAGAGCACGATTCAAACGGCAACGACGGCGACGGCGACAACGGCAATAACGACGGCGACAACGACGGCGACGGCGACCTCGACGACGGCCAAATACATTAAGCAGAAGCCCTATCTAAGAAGTGTCAAACGATACTAAGCCCACCTAAAAAAGGTCGGCTGTTTTCAAATTGCCGGCGGCCAAGAAACTACGGGAACGTCTTAGAAATGTCCAATTCAGCAATAAGACGGCTGCGAGTATAGTCGAGAGCACTAAGGTGCGGATGCAATCCTACCTCATTTTCGCTACTGTAGTCGCCAGCGACTGTACGGCAGGGTTACCGCTCCTATCTTCTTCTGCCCCTTCGGCAACTTTACATTTTGCCAATCTTCACTTTGGACGACAAAAAGGCGGCCTAAGCCGCGCTTTCTAAGAGCAGGCAGAACTGTTAAAGGACGACAAACGATTGGCACGGCGAACGAGATTCGAAATGGCCATCCTCGCCGAATTTTCACAGCTATTAGATGGGGAAAAATATTACAGGCGAAAGATAAAGCGCCCACTCGCTCTCAACTTTATCCTAAATCGTCTTCATCTATCGAGGGGTGCCTAGGCTTAGGTATTCTTTGCCTCTCTTTCCGCCAAAGGAAATCTCCGCGCGGAGATATGCGACGTTTCAAATGAGGTGGAATTCTGCAGTGCGACCTTAGAGAGATTGAAGACATGCGACTTCGAGGCCGTGCTAGATGACATTCTTATTTTCCATCATATGGCCTACCTTGGGTGGCTGTGTGGTTTGAAGTTAGTTTATTTAACATGATGGCTGTCTAGCATCGTTAGTGCTAATCACGCTATAGATATCGCGAGACCTGCGAAAACCTGGGTCTTTCCAGTCTCGCTAACGAAGATCCGGGCATTGACTTGAAGTTAGACAATATTCACTCCCAGCATGGCGACCTAGACATAGATGATGAACGCAAGCTTCACCTTCACCGCCAAATACGTGATGCAGTGACGGTTTCCCTTGGCAAGCTGCGCGATACACATGTCAAATACGGAAGTATGGACTGCGGCTGTGCTTAGCATATAAAGATGCGGAACGTCCCCCCTACGCCAGCTTTAGATTCAATACAGCGCACTCGCCTTCCTTTTTCCAGCTGTCATGCACTATTGATCGCATAGCAAGATGTTTCCGCAGATCGCATAGACGCTCAAGGATCTTCCATTTCGAACACAACTCGAGACGACCAGAATAACACTATCGATCAACTTGCCACAGAACCCGGGGATTCCAATCAACGTCAACAGTGCGCCAGAGCCGATAATGCACCAGCTTCCTCCGTTAAGGATTCCCATCAGGCGCACTTTCTTCCTACAGATAGAATGGCCGCGCCAACGAGTCAGCCAACTGCAATGCCCTATCATGCGAATCCCCATAGTCTAAACGGGACATCTCATGCTAGACAAGATTACATCCCATCCAGGCCTCTCCCTACTGGAAGCCATGATGACCTTGGAATCAACCGCTCGGTACTATTGCAGCCTCCTCCTGCTACCAACCCCTCCAGCTGTTACGCTACTATGGATCTGCAAGGCACGGGAATTAGTGAGGCTAAGGTGATTACTACCGGAGCTTTTGCAATGCAACCGGACATCGCCGGGCGCAATGGCGCCCCTGCCTCTAGTGTTCCCACACCTGCCAATCAATCGTTGGATGCTGTATAAGATTCTATAGGTCCTCCGCGTCCACCATCCGACACGGCGGATGAAACATAGCCAGGTTCTACTTCTGCCTAAGCTTCGATACCTAAGCTTGAAGTTACGACAGGAGCTTGTGGGGATCGGATAGGTGTTAACGCTCTTCCTATAGACATAGTGGAAACGAACCGAGTTTCGAATCGCTCGAACCGAGTTTCGAATCGCTCGAACCGAGTTTCTACGGCTGCGTTCGGTCCGGAGGCACCTACTACAGTTCCCATTAACTGTTCCCCCTGGATCTAGATGTAAGATCCTTATCTCGTCCCTTCTGCTCAACAAGCCACAGGGTCTCCGAGAGGCGGCACACCGACGCCATCCCCTCCCGAAAATGAGCAATGTCCAATCGATTCGTCCGCTACACATCACCACCAAGAAACATTTAGACAATACCTATAGAAGGAGAAGATTCCCGAACAGCCTCTCGAGCTCGATTCAGCATCATCCCGGGATAAACCCACTCTACCACACATCGGCGACATGTTCCCTTAAATCAACATACCCTTTGCCAATGGCACCGGTGCATATACAGATGTGGCCCAGTTGTCTATACCAAATCCTAGTATTCAATAGGAAGAAGACACCTTATCTAACAATACATTTGCCCTCGGATCTTTCGACCTTAAGGTCTCCTTAGTTGGTGGTGTCATAAATGGAGAACTATATGCTTCTGGTTCTACTGAGGAAAGAGGAGATCATATTGCCGTTATGAACTCCTAGTGCGGCCAGTCGGATACTGGTTCTTGGCCGGTGGATCTCGTTCGAGCCCTAGCATTTATCTCTCTCGTCGATGGTACATTCGTCAACCAAGGCTTGCTCTTTAATGAACGAGCCCTAGCATTATCAAACTCTGTTATCGATGGTACATTCATTGATGAAGACTTGCTCTTTAATGAACGAGTCCCAGCATTGTCAAATTCTCTCATTGATGGTGCATTTAACGACGAAGACTTTACACGAGCCCCAATACTGAACGGTCAGTGGATGTGACGGTGCGAAGTTGAAGTGTTATTGCAGACGTCAAGACTCATTCACAGAGGACGGCCAGGCGCAATTTATACGAACTCTATCAGCCTGGAACCTATCTACTATGTTTTTGAGCACATATGGCAGTTCTATTTTCCCCCAGTTTTGAATCTCCGCTTCCGTTGCGAAGCCAGCCATTATAGTAATTCCTCTTACAATGGAAAATTGAACCCGGCTATCTAAAAGTACCCTGTCAACAGTTAGCATGCTATGTTTCGACACAGATCCTGGTCAGTCTTACAATCCGCCGCGGTTGAGGACAACGACGCTCTTAGAAATCCCGTCTTTTTCCATATGTGACTTTTGGGTCGCGAGGAGACCCCATGTCTTGGACACTGATGGATCATGTTTGATGTTCTGTGACATCGACCCACTGTATAGGTGGACGGTCGAGCCTGGGCTCCAAAGAAGAACCAGGAGGCAGAAAGCATCCCCGGCAGAGCCGTTGTGCAGACGGAAGACATAGTCTGTAGGGAATCTATGGCTGTATATTTTGATGAGGCCTAGGTGAGGCCGACCCAACACAGACTCCAAGACTTGGTGTATGTCCTATCTCACGTCAACTTAATAGCTCTCACGCGGGCAATAGGGTATACAACCTTCCTACCAAAGCTGTTTTGGGCTATGAAATCTAGTCCAGAGGACGTTCTGGTGGGGAAACGAGCTTCGGAGAATTCTTCAACGCTAGTACCGATCACTTGGTCGTCTAATGCATAGAATCCGTTCTGCCGGATAGATGTCTCTGCATCTTTAGCCAGGAAGGGTCGCGGCAAAGCCATGCTGCTTCGTGATGTTAAGTCGGCGTGCGGGATCACGTCAGAGAAGAGGGGTTCAATTTACTTTAACGCGGACGCTGGGTTTCCTAGCTATATAGAGGTTATAGTGGATCTAACCCGGGAGAAGTTTCTTCCGATGTCTTCGCCTTTTTGAACGGCTAAAAGGGTTGCAACAGGCTTGTCGTACAAAATTAGAATAGCATCCGCACAAGCATCAAATAGGCAGGTAGAAGAAACCGCCAGTCCTCGCATGATATCATGAGCCTATTATGTAAGTAATGTGATTGTGGCGACGTTGCTGCCGTAGATGAGGGGGGACTGAACCCCGCTTTTGGGTAGCGTCGCACTATATGAGTTAGGTAAGTCAGGTGCCCATTATACTCCACTTTAGTGAGCTAGAGGAAAAAAAACTCTAGCGACTCGACTCGACACCGACGTTAAAGATGCGTAGACAATCTACTTCTAAGAATCGAGGTTAGTACATTCCTGACTTTTTATAGATTCTGTACTCATATCCGGGCAGCACGAGAAACTACATTTAGAGCGGAAAGCAATGTCAGACAAATGCAAGCTTTGTGGGGGCAATCCAGGGCCATATAACTGCAGTCTCTGCGGAGCTGCCCCCCGAGGCTGAAAACGACGCTCTAAAAACCAAATCAGCGACAACTCGTGAGATCAAGGAGGAAGCCTCGCGTTTAGAATGCTTTTACTTAAACGTTTACGTGTATAGCCAGTGTTATAGGATTAGAGGTCCGAAGCTCAAAAAATGTTGGTCTAAACAATGCCCGCAGGCGTTGTGTGAGGAGGGGCTTCCCTAACGCAGTGAATGGAATCGTTAACGTTAAGGTCACGAAGGAGTTCACGTAAGGCCGTGACATCTATCCGAGCCTTGAGCCTCTAAGGGTGAGGCAGCAATCAAAACTATCATTCTACCTTGTTATATGCTACGCTGTAGCCGCCACTCCTGTTATGATGCTCTTCCCTCATTTAGCTCGACCACATACTGTGACGGTTGGTACGACTCTGTGCTACAGGGTAGTCAGAGAAGTATCGGTTTTATATTGGCGAGGCCGTTAGGGCGTCTAACTRAGCAATAAGGCAGTTATAGTCGTAGGTGCTAATTATAGAAGGAACTAGGGTTCTAAAAGAAGCGTTAACTATTATATTAATAGCTAGGTAAAGAGTGACTAGGCTATAGAAATGAGGTTAACTATATACTAGGCGATCGCTAAAGGGATGTAATAATCGTGAGGAGTGATTATTACAATCGCTAGGTAATCGAGGTAATCGCTTAGTTAGTAATCGCTACGATCGCTAAATAATTAAGGCGAT